TCTCAAAATGAACCCCTTACCTTATCTCGTGCAAGATAATCGGCACCACCATCCAAAAGAGCACGCAAAGCCCTGACGCTTCCGTATTTTGCTGCGACAATAAAAGGAGTTTCGCCAAAATGATTTTTTTTCTAAAATATTGCGCAAATTACAGGTCCATGTAAAATACTCTCACTATATTTTTCATGGCTAAATATCGGAATATAAGAGATTTGCTAGTGATGCTGAAGAATAGTGAAAAGTGCACAGTGCCTGATGTTTGTTACTATTCACCCCGTTGTTGAATTGCTGCATACGACTTCAATCGCATTTGGCACTCTCACCTCTTGAAGTCATTAATTTGGAACAGGCAAGACAAGACTAGTTTTTAATGAGTCGCGACGTCGGGCACATGTTTGATTTAAACACTGATGAGAACCGATTGGGGTGAACCTAGGCATACCCCACAAAAACATTAACTGTGCGACTGTCTGGCTTGCACTTCCCTGTTAGTAAATACAGATACAAGGAATACGCTGCTTTCCTGCTGCAATGACAGGAAAGTGAATTAAAATGGGATATAGAATGTCCAAAAATGCATTATGAGGGGACTACTTCTACTCAAATGCAGTAAAAGGTGAATAATTCACAGGCTGACAAATGACGAAAAGCCAGAAGGCCAAATCCCAAAAATACGAAAACCTTCTAGGCAATCTCATGTTAGTACTGAAATGCTCCTACACGTCGGTATTTGCCAGGCTAAGCTGCACAACTTCATCACCTGTCCAGTGTGTGCGCACCATCTTTTTGACGGCGGCTCAGGCAACTGTTTACTTTCTCGCCACCAACACTCACTAATGCGCCACTCACTGTCAGTACAATGAGCTACATATTCTGCTTGACGAATTTCACTTTTTTCACTCTCATATGGATTGTAATGACAAGCTGCATAGCTGCCATTTGAAGAGAAGTCTGACTGCTTATGTGGTCACGAAGAAAAATCCAAGTAAGTTTCGCACCATCGTTCTCTTTCTCACAGCCAACTTCGATTTTCGACAGTGGCTAAATTTCATATTTGTATATCGTTGCTTTCAAAATAGTGGCTGGCAACCGACAGACACATTGATGAGTTGGTATTCAGGAGAAAGTAAACTTCCACTTGCGTAGTTCCCAAGGAGTGCTCGCACATACTGACGATGACAGGCTGAAGATGCTGTTTGGATTTGTGCAGATCAGAACTGAAGAGCCTGGAATAAAGGTGCCCGGCATGTGAAAGCTTCCGGTAACACCATTAATATCCAATTCCCGCAAACTGCTCGGGTATTCTTGCTGATTACGAAAGAAATAAAAATGAATTTTTAAGACACTACAATGAAATGCAGACTCTTCCAAAATCAGTTATTTTCACCAGTACAGTTCCCTTTAAATTACTGTCGTGAATAAAAAAACGAATGTAAACCCAGTTAAAAACCCCGTTCCTTTGTTTTGCCGTATGGATCGATTCGTTTTATCTTTCACTTGCGACTGACTTCCCATCGTCACATTTTTTTGGATGGCCCAGGTGTGAGACGGAGAGGAAGGGATTTAAAGTAGGAGATTTGGTCTGTATACTCTCACCAAACTGGCTAAATGAGGCTCAAAAGTAGAGAACAAAAGTATGAGAAAAAACAAGAAACAAATGCACCCAGCCATTAATCTCAATTTCCGAGGTAGGAGGGGGAGACCGCTGTACTAGAACAGCGCATTTTCCGACTCTTGATTACTGGACAGAATGATACAGGAGGTATTTAATCAACGACGAAGTGAACGCACCTCAATATCCCAGCCAAGGAAAATCAATGTGTTAACAACGTTCACGTGGTCGCGCGCAGCAGCGAGATGCAGTGCCGTGAAGCCATGTTTGTCCGAATCATCTCGACGTATTATCGGATTCAGATCAATTATCGTCCGAATTGACAGCTCCACTCCATTCATTGCTGCCCACATGAATGCGGTGTGGCCACTGTTCGTATGAACTTCCTGATCATTCAGAAAAAGAGGCAGTAAGTAAAAATTGACACTACCAAACAAAATGTAAGCCCTTTGAAAATACAACTTCGCTTTCCTGCTTAACTAGCCGTCAATGAAAATTGCCAACTTTTAAGTTCGATAACTTCGCCTTTCAAGGCCATGCTGCACAGCTGACGCCCGCTCAGTTGTAGTTCACTTTTTTTATGCGTTTTTGCATATATGTAAATTGCAAAAACGCATATTGGGAAGAGGCTGTCTGT